AATCCCAAGGAAGATCTCCAGCCGAAATCCTACTGGCGATTCCGCCACGATGACTTCTTCCCGGAACCCTCCTTCCGCAGCTGGTCCGCCTACCGCTCCGCCCTCTCCCAAACCCCCCACCGCATCTACGACCGCCTCGTCGGCCGCTCCACCGACGCCAACGAACTCGGCGAGGTCCGCCGCCGCAGTGAAAACGATATGCGACGCACTCTCACCTGGTGGGATCTCACCTGGTTCGGCTTCGGCTCCGTCATCGGCGCCGGAATCTTCGTCCTCACCGGCCAAGAAGCCCACGAACACGCCGGCCCCGCCATAATCCTCTCCTACGTCATCTCCGGCATCTCCGCCATGCTCTCCGTCTTCTGCTACACCGAATTCGCCGTCGAAATCCCCGTCGCCGGCGGCTCCTTCGCCTACCTCCGCGTCGAACTCGGCGATTTCGCCGCCTTCATCGCCGCCGCTAATCTCATCCTCGAAAACATAATCGGCGGAGCAGCCGTCTCTAGGGCTTGGACTTCCTATCTCGCTACTCTGATAAACAGACCCCCAAATTCCCTAAGAATACACACCAACCTCGCCAAGGATTTCAATCTGTTGGATCCGATCGCCGTCGTTGTGCTGTTCGTGACGGCGGCAGCGGCCATGCTGAGCACCAAGAAGACGTCTTACTTCAACTGGGTGGCGTCGGCGATTCACGTCGTGGTAATAGCATTTGTAATAATCGCCGGATTTGCTCACGCGAAAACGGAGAACTTATCGCCGTTTTTGCCTTTCGGAGTGGAGGGGGTTTTTCGCGCGGCGGCGATAGTGTATTTTGCGTACGGCGGGTTTGATAATATCGCGACGATGGCGGAGGAGACGAGAAATCCGTCGCGAGATATTCCGTTGGGATTACTCGGCTCTATGTCGATCATCACTGTTATCTATTGCTTGATGGCACTGGCGCTCAGTATGATGCAGAGGTAATCTTGCAATTTTTTTTTTACTTCAAAAATTGAAAAAATATCTGCCAAAATTTATATTAAATTTAAGATTATATATAATATTTAAATACTAT